GAGAGTAAGGAAAAAGCTTGCAGAACAGGAAATCATTGCTGACTCCAGTAGCTTTGACACTTGAAGCCAGATCCTCAAACCTCTCAATGTGATCCATAGGATGCTCATGAGGTAAGCCATGGAATGGATGCTGGCCAACCAGCTGATAGTAGACTGGTTTAACCTCAAAATCGTTCCTCTGGAAGGCAGGAGGTCGGATTGCAGCTCTGTTGGCATAGAACTGATCAGGTCTGTTGTAGTCACCTAGAGTCCTCTGAACAAAACGCCCAGCAGCGTTATTGACAGCAGCAGGGACCCCCACGTTCTCAGCCACTTGCTGAACCTGCTGTTCAACAATGACATTCCCCTCTTGATCAATTCTCTGCCCCTCTTCGTTCCTCCTGTTTCCTTCCCTGTCAACCAAGTGACCTTCTGCATCTTCAACCAAGATAAGTGGAGCGACCATTGTAGATTGCTTCTTAGCTTTCCTGTTAGTTCTCTCCAACCTAGCAAGCTCGTCGATGCTCAAAGTCACAAGCTCCTTCTCTTTGTTGCTTCTGGTTCTGCGATTAGGCATACACCTGAAACAGGAACAAAGAAAAGTAGCTGAAAGTCAGTAAACAAATAAAAACTTAGACAAAATCCTAATACTAAAAATCGATAGGCAGCTATTACTCCCCGGCAACGGCGCCAAAAACTTTTGGGCCAAAACTGCAATTTCTTCCCAATCTTTTAAAAACAGGCCACGACCTCCTTCCTTGGTGGGTGACGAGCGTCACCATATGGCATACTTTCTTCTTCGAGCTAGGTACTTCGTGGCTTCAACTCAGAATGCTCCAAAAGGCTCCAATATCTCCAGTTATGCTCCAGACATGCTATAACCTGCAAAGACTCTTCTAGGACTCTAAAAAGACCAAGAAGACTCAATAAAAAGGACTTATATCATGGTTAAAAACCATAAAAACCATGATATATCACCTAGTAGAGTCTTTACAGGTTATTGCATGTTTGGAGCACAATTCGAGGTTTTGGAGCATTTTGGATCAAAGCAAGAGTTCTTCCCGAATGAAGCAACTAAGGAGACGTTACTCTGCACTGGTGACGATCTTAACCACCTAATGGGTGACGCTCGTCACCACATCTGAAGAAGAGACACGCGACTAATTAAAAGATGGAGAAGAATTTGTAGTTTTAGCCCAAAAATTCTACTATTTACAAAAGTGTCCGACTCGTGTTTTAGTCTGCATATTAGGTTTTTCAGCCATTCTTTGGCTTGTATCTGATTTTCTAGAGAGTTTTTGAGAGAGATTGAATCAGCGCTTTGAGGGAGACAAATCCTGTACTCTTTTAGAGAAGATTTCAAACCTTTGTTTTTCTCTTCTTATCTTTTTAATGCCGTTTATTTCAGTTATGATTTGTGTTATCATCTCCATGTCTTAATAATCTTCCAGTTAGGTTAGGTGATTTAAAAATTGATGAAAAGTGTGTAGAATTGTTAAACTGTTAGGAAAATCCATTGGTTCTTCATCTAGACTTGCATACATATCAATTTTAGGACTGATCATCAATAACTCGAAACCTAGGTTGTTTAATAGATGTGAGAACATTGTTAATCACCTGAACTAGTATTAGATGAGCAAAATTACTATATGCAAAAAGATTTGATTTAGAAATTTTGTGAACAATCGAAACCTGGTCATTACTTCTTGTTTAAGTTGTTACAATTTGCAAAAAGATTTGAATTCTGGGATTTACGCATAGATAACTTTTGCAATAAGTTCTGGACGGTTTTAATTATTTTCTGATTGCATGCATTCTACATTCTCGGATTCAACCTGTGAATTATCCTAGCTTAGCGTTTTTAGCTTTCTGAACTTTAGAACAAGTCATCAAATCGCCTGCTTTTATTTATCATGTTATCTCCTCTTTCATTCATTCATTATCGCTTAGCATAATCTGAATCTAAATTCTGTAGAGAAGTAGCTTACTTCCTTGGGATTTGATAACCCTTTATGCTACAACTCATTGTTGTGCACTTGCAGTAGTACTATTAATTGGGTGAAACTAGACCCCGATCAACTAGCGTTTTCATTATGGCTCACGTGTAGAAACTCATCCCACCATGCTCCCTTATGGACTTGCTCGTCCTCCGGTAATTTGGGACTACGGTCCAGCAGGCCCTCGTGGCCCTTTCTGCGTCAAATCCCTCAAGGGACAGTACAATGTCCAAAGCACGCTCCTCTGTGGACTTGCTAGCCCTCTAGGATAATATTCCTCCTGGAATCAGAAACTCCGGTCTCACAGGCCTCCGGGTCTTCTTCGCTAGTCCTCCCTCGGGGGCCGTGCGACCAATTAACATGCTCCTCCCAAGGACATGCTTGCCTCTAAGGTACTAGGGGAATTGAGGTCGTCTACCCGCAGGCTTTCTCATCCCGAAAAATTCCTCGACCTCTTTCCTTCGGGGTACGTCACAAGCACGTTCCTAAAACCCAGAAACTTTCACGTAAGCAAAATGCAAGACTGTCCAAGAAGTAAGGGATTCGAGGTAACACCCTCGAGGAAATGTCCTACTTCCCACCAGCTACATTCAAGTAGTGACTCCCCCCATGTTAGCGACCCGCGATATGATGACCATCTTTTCATCCACTCAACGGTGCCACCCGTGGTTCTTGGGTCGATGTCTTAAACCGCACCATTGTCTTATATCGATCTACATGGTCACATAGAACTATGAACTCTCTCATGACACCGATAAGTGGGGCAAGACGGCTCCTTGTCTAGTGCTTCACGAAGCAAGGTGTAAATTTCCTCCGGGGAGATGTCCACCAGTGGACGCACTAATAGTTCCTCTGGGAACACCAGTATCCCCCTATTATGAGCAGGTATGTAATCTTTCATATGCATGTCCTGGTCGGGGTAGGGTCCAACTAACACGCTTCTCCGGAAGTCTAACTCATTTGGCTAACAGCATAATTCTTCGAATGCGTCGCAAGGTCGAAGCAAGTTCTTTAACTATATATCTAGAATGACTGTCTTACGATTCACTTCTCCGGAAGTGTAATTCCTAACGTACTCTCCTGGATGCGAATAAGGTCGGAGTTAACACCTAATATGACGGTCTTACAGTTCGCTTCTCCAGAAATGTATTTCCTTTGACCAATAATGTACTCTCTCGGATGCAAAAAAGGTCGGAGTTGACACCTAGTATGACCGTCTTACGGTTTGCTTCTCCGGAAGTGTAATTCCTACGACCATTAACGTACTCACGCGGATGCGAATAAGGTCAGAGTTGATACCTAGTATAACCGTCTTACGGTTTGCTTTTCCGATAGTGTAAATCCTTCGACCAATAATGTACTCCTCCGGATGCGAATAAAGTCGAAGTTGACATTCAGTTTACTTCTCAGGAATTTTAACTCCCTGTTTTAGAGTCCCTGTTTTAATATAACCTTTTTTTTGTTTTCTATGAGAACCTCGCTTCGTGCAAACCAATTCCGTACCCCATGGATACGTAGCTAGGTCGCCGCGATAATACGACCTTTCATGGTAGAGACTTAGGGAACCAGATAACTCATACTCATTGTGCAGAAAGTATGAGGAACTTGACTCTCCGACTCATTTCCAATCAGTCGAGAAGTCGGGGGCAATTGTTGGGACCGGTTTTATTAAAACCAAAGAACAAAAAGACATGTGGGCACCGAACCACCCTAAACACTGACACAATCCGCTAACTCGGCCAATGAGTCCCATAGTTCACAAGCAGTTGGCGAGCTTCCCAAATTACGTATGCGCCACCAACCCACCTGACTTCTGTCACGCCGAACTAATGGGACATGACAGGCAGGATCTGTATAAAAGGAGGGCAACAGAAGAAGAAAAGAGAGGTGGACAATGAGGAGAGAAAGAGCTATAGGCCAAGAGCCCGGACCAGAAAGAGAGAAAGAGAGAAAGGTGTAGAGATCGAAAGAGATACATCCTTAGAGTTCAATCTAAGGAGGAAGAGCTCCATCCCATCCGAGAGAAGACAAGCACATCCATACAGCGTAGTCTCAAGGGAACAGCCCATTTCCCGGAGACAGTGCCAACCAGAATAAATCATTTTTTGACCCGAAATTGTGCCTTTATAATCGCTAAGTCTCCTTTCCCTTGTAGAATCCCTTCGAAACACCCTTAAACATAAATATGTCCAGATCCTCAAACGAGACATCTAACCTTTATCTCGTAGAATCACCCTCCTGAAGACTTGTTCCCGGTAGGATGTTCATTGACTTGGACACCGGAAAACCTTCAGGAGAGAAACTCCTATTTGGTTTTCCTGTAGGCCCCGGCTACTCTTTGGTGTAGTGCCCACATGATTCGAACAGGTTTACGCCTTAGAATGGCTCATTGTATTTTCCTCCAAAAGACAAAACTTGAAAACACAACTCCTCTATCCAAATGAATCATATACCTCCACATAACATTCTGTAAAATACTCCCGAACAATATATTAAAATTAATATTTTATTTATATTTTTTAAAAAAATTGTGTACATTGCCTTTATTATATTCAAGAATTTAATAATTTCGTTTCAATGTTAACTTATACTCATTTGATATCATATTCACACAAAAATAAGCATATATATATATATATTAAAAAAGGAAAAATACCAATTAACTACTTATATATACAAAAAATATAACATGCATTTTATTTTGAAGAGTTAATTTAATCAAGTTATACCACATTTACAGAATTTTTTATGGAATCCAACTTATATATTAGCGATCCATTTATTGAAATAAAGTTAGCTTATGAGTTTTACAATTTGCTTACAATTTAATGTATTTCATTAGACAGACGAAGAAAACCAGTTCACCTACTAAAATCACGTTTTAAAAACAACGCAGCTTCTGTCACCCGTCAAAACAAAACAAATATAACCAACCAACCAAACAAAAAAAACAAAACATTATTTTAAAAATGATGACTTTATAAAGTAAGCGACGACTTAGCCTTTCTATTTAATCACATATCACTTGCATTGGTAAAAAATATCCGAAAACACCAAGAAATAGCCAAACATGGATCTCTTCTTGATTATTGCCGCCTTGGTAGCGACTGCAGCCTTCTTCCTCCTCCGGAGCACCACCAAGAAATCTCTCCGGCTGCCTCCAGGGCCGAAAGGTCTTCCTATCATTGGAAACCTCCACCAGATGGAGAAATTCAACCCACAACACTTCCTTTTCCGTCTCTCCAAGGTCTACGGTCCAATTTTCACATTGAAAATTGGTGGCCGTCGCCTTGCTGTGATCTCCACGGCTGAGCTAGCCAAGGAGCTCCTCAAGACCCAAGACCTGAATTTCACCGCTCGTCCTCTCCTGAAGGGGCAACAAACGATGTCGTATCAAGGCCGTGACCTTGGTTTCGGACAGTACACAGCGTACTACCGTGAGATGAGAAAGATGTGTATGGTGAACCTCTTCAGCCCAAATCGAGTAGCTAGTTTCCGACCCGTTAGAGAAGAAGAGTGCCAAAGGATGATGGACAAGATCTACAAAGTCGCCGACCAATCAGGGACCGTTGACCTTAGTGAGCTTCTATTGTCTTTCACGAACTGTGTCGTCTGTAGACAAGCTTTTGGGAAGCGCTACAACGAGTACGGAACCGAGATGAAAAGATTCATAAACATCTTGTACGAGACTCAAGCCCTTTTGGGTACTCTGTTTTTCTCCGACATTTTCCCTTATTTCGGATTCCTTGACAACGTCACTGGTCTTAGTGCGCGTCTCAAGAGAGCTTTCAAGAACCTCGATACTTACCTTCAAGAACTCCTAGACGAGACTCTTGACCCTAAACGCCCTAAACCGGAGACAGAGAGTTTCATTGATCTTTTGATGCAGATCTACAAAGACCAACCTTTCTCCATCAAATTCACTCACGAAAATGTCAAGGCCATGATACTGGTAGGTAACTCACTCATTCAGTAACCTTACTGAATTTTTTGTAATTCTTACGTTAAGCTCATATTCATTCCTAGAGGTTAGTATTTCGACATTTCGATTATTCAGACGTTATTGGTTTGAATTAGATTCGGTTTTAGATATAAATATAATTTTGAATAGTCTGTTTTAATTACTTCAGGATATTGTTGTGCCTGGAACTGACACAGCGGCTGCGGTTGTGGTATGGGCCATGACTTACCTTATAAAGTACCCTGAAGCAATGAAGAAAGCTCAAGAGGAAGTGAGGAATGTGGTAGGCGACAAAGGATATGTCTCCGAAGAAGACATACCTAATCTCCCTTATCTGAAAGCTGTTATCAAGGAGTCTCTCCGTCTCGAACCAGTCATCCCCATTCTCCTACATAGAGAAACAATGGCAGACGCAAAGATTGGTGGCTATGATATTCCTGCGAAGACCATCATTCAGGTGAACGCGTGGGCAGTTTCTCGTGACCCAGCTGCCTGGGGAGACAACCCTAATGAGTTCATTCCAGAGAGGTTCATGAACGAGCACAAAGGAGTAGAATTCAAGGGGCAAGATTTTGAGCTCCTACCTTTCGGGTCAGGCCGGAGAATGTGCCCGGCGATGCATCTTGGAGTAGCAATGGTAGAGATACCTTTCGCTAACCTTCTTTACAGATTCGACTGGAGCTTACCAAAAGGCCATAAACCAGAGGATATAAAGATGGACGTCATGACCGGACTCGCTATGCATAAGAAAGACCACCTCGTTCTTGCCCCAGGGACGCACATTTGATCAGAAGCAATTGGTGTGCGGAGCTATATTATGAGAATTCTGCTAGTAGATATGGCGATCAATTGTTGTTTTTCAATAGGCGGCAAAATTTTCGTTAATAACACTGTTTTCAGTTCTGTAACAAATAATGTATTAATGCTATTTCTGAATTTGGAAACATGTATCACTATGTGTAATATGTAGAATAGTATGCATATGGAAAGGATAAGTTTGTAAATATATTATACCTAACGCATTATATGTATTCTATATATATTGTAATCATCTTATCTAATAAGAATCATTCAACCTCCAATTCTATATGGTATCAGAGCAGAAGCGATACCTAGAAAACCTAATCAAAACTTAGCCGTCACTTTCATTTCTTCTTCTTTTTCAAAATGACTACACTAACAATTGTATCCGATGAAACGGTGGTACCTGCTGAATCCACAACCATCGTCAATGTCAATATGACGAACGTTACCAAACTCAATGCTACGAATTTTCTAATGTGGAGCCGCCAAGTTCACGCACTCTTTGATGGATATGCTCTTGCGGGGTACCTTGATGGATCACTCGAGATCCCTTCTGCCACGATCACCATCGACGGTACAGTTCGTACCAACCCTGCCTATACAACATGGAAGAGGCAAGACAAACTGATATACAGTGCCTTGCTCGGTGCCATTTCCACCATGATCCAACCACTCCTCTCCACGACGAGTACTGCTGAGGAAATCTGGACCACACTTTCTTCGACCTATGCAAAACCAAGCAGGGGCCACATCAAACTGCTAAAACAACAAATCAAACAATGGACAAAAGGTACAAAGTCCATCAATGAATACTATCAAGGACTAACCACTCGTTTTGATCAGTTAGTCCTTCTCGGCAAAGGCATCAACCTTGAAGACCAGGTTGAATACATACTTGAAGGTCTTCCGGAGGAATACAAGAACCTTGTCGATCAAATCGAGGGGCGTGATTCTGCTCCATCTCTTACTGAGATTCATGAAAAATTAATCAACTATGAGGCAAAACTTCAGATGGCCGTGGTCTCACCTCCACTCAATCCGATCTCCGCAAATGTTGTAACTCATCGTGGTTCAAGCAATAACAATCACTACCGTGGTCAACATCAACGTGGTCCGTATCAACGCTCCAACAATCGCTACAACAACCAGACCTGGCAACAACAACAATTTTCCCATCGTCAAGACTTCAATGCTCCACGGGGATACCAAGGAAGATGTCAGATTTGTGGCCTTCATGGACACAGTGCCAAGCGATGCTCACAACTTCAGGTGTCTGGTGACTCTTTTGGAAACTCGTTCAGGTCACAGAAATCATCCCCTGTACCATGGCAACCACGAGCTAATCTAGCAGCTGCTCCAATGAACAACACTAATAGTTGGCTACTTGATAGCGGAGCAACACATCATTTAACAACAGACCTGAGCAATCTCTCATTACATCAACCGTACCTTGGTGGTGAAGAAGTTACAATAGCTGATGGCTCAAGCCTCCAAATATCACATACTGGTTCAACACTTATCTCTACTCCCTCTCATCTCGCACGCTTGCTTTAAAAGATGTTCTCTATGTCCCTGATCTCCAAAAGAACCTTATATCTGTCTATCGCCTCTGTAACACTAACAATGTATCTGTTGAATTCTTCCCGGCCCATTTTCAGGTGAAGGATCTCAGCACGGGGGCTCGATTGCTTCAAGGCAAGATTAAAAACGAGCTATACGAGTGGCCGGTTCATCCATCATCCATTTATTCTCTCGCTGCCTCACCTTCACCCAAAACGGATCCATGTTATTGGCATTCAAGGCTTGGACATCCTTCTTTTTCAACACTTCAAACACTTGTCTCGCATTTTCAATTACCTGTTTCATCTTTGCCAAAACAGTTTGCTTGTTCTGATTGCCTTATTAATAAAACTCATAAACTCCCGTTTTCCACAAACACCATTACCTCTCACAAACCTCTCGAATATCTTTACACTGATGTCTGGTCTTCTCCTATTCTCTCGGTCGACAACTACAAGTACTACTTGGTGTTTGTTGATCATTATACGCGATATACTTGGATGTATCCACTGAAGCAGAAATCACAAATTCTTCAAGTCTTCACAGCCTTCAAAGCACTTGTTGAGAACCGTTTTCTAACAAAAATTCGCACACTCTTCTCTGATAATGGTGGCGAATTTCTAGCCTTGCGTCATCTCCTTGCAGCGCATGGAATCTCCCATCTTACATCACCACCGCACACACCAGAACATAACGGGCTCGCTGAAAGAAAGCATAGACATATCGTAGAGACTGGATTAACTCTTCTCAGCAATCAGAGATGCCCAAGAGCTATTGGCCCCTTGCATTTGCAGCAGCCGTCTACCTAATCAATCGCCTACCAACGGAGGTCCTACACAATGAATCTCCCTATCGGAAATTGTTTCAACAAACTCCCAACTACCTGAAACTCCGAATTTTTGGATGTGCGTGCTTTCCATGGCTTCGTCCGTACGCGAATAACAAGTTGGATGACAGATCAATTCGATGCGTCTTCGTCGGCTACTCATTCACCCAGAGTGCTTATCTACGCCTGGACAAAGCTACTGGTCGAATCTATGCCTCACGACATGTAGTTTTTGATGAATCGAGTTTCCCGTTTCAAAAGAATCTGGAGAAGATTCAGACATCACCCACATAAATTTTCCCAACACCCAAAAGTCCACATCATACAATCATCACTGTTCGGCCGCCGCCACTCGTACGAGCTCCACCGGTATTGCCCCCGAGCTCCGACCTTCATCGTCAAGCACCAATCGTGCCTTCACCAAACACGCAGGTAAGTCACGATTCTTGATTTGACACAGAAACTAATATGGGCCAGGAAATAGAATTTACAGGCCCAACCCAAACAGATACTCAAACCACTTTCTCACACCAAACAGGCCTAAACCAAACAGATACTTAAACCACCTCCTCAAACCAAACAGGCCCAAACCCGAATATCAATTTACCACCAAACCAAATACCCCAGCCCAACACAAACCCTCGTCACTCGAAAAATCCTTCATCCTCTTCCACCGTCCGACCCTCACGCAGACAACGCCGACAACAACACCCATCGGATCCCCACCCTATGCGCACTCGCGCGAAGAATAACATCTTCAAACCCAAATCCAAGTTAGCTACCATAAAAACAAAACCAAAAATTCTCACGACCGTAACCCAAGCTTTGCGAGATGAGAAATAGAGATATGCGATGAGTGATGAATTCAACGCCCAAGTCCATCATCATACATTTGATCTGGTTCCGCCGAATCCAAATCAGAATGTCATCGCCACAAAATGGATTTTTACGTTGAAGTATAAGCCGAATGGTGATCTGGATCGATATAAGGCGCGACTTGTTGCTCGTGGTTTCAACCAACAACAAGGCATCGATTACTCTGAGACATTCAGTCCTGTGGTCAAGTCAGATACAATACGTCTGGTCTTACAAATCGCGGTCAGTCGTAATTGGTCTATTAAGAAGCTTGACGTCAATAATGCGTTCTTGCAAGGTACTCTTACGGATGAAGTGTATGTTAGTCAGCCGCTAGGATTTATTGACAAGGATAAACCAAATCACGTCTATGGGCTTCGGAAAGCACTTTATGGGTTGAAACAGGCTCCCAGGGCCTGGTATCAAGAGTTAAAGAATTATCTCACGGAGATTGGATTCAAAACTCACTGGCAGACACATCGGTGTTCACATATACTCGCGAAGGTACTGTCATCTATATCTTGGTGTATGTAGACGATATCATATCACCGGCAGTAGTAATCACTTAATCAACAAGGTGATCTCAGCTTTGTCAAACCGATTTTCACTAAAAGATCCCACAGATTTGAGTTATTTTTTGGGAGTTGAAGCCATTAGAACTCCGAAAGGTCTACATTTAATGCAGCGGAAGTATATCTCTGATTTGCTTACGAAGACAAAGATGCTGGATGCCAAACCGGTGGCCACACCGATGCCTCCTCATCCTAAGCTCTCTTTAACGACAGGTAACATCTTGGATGACTTTACTGAATATCGAATGGTTGTCGGAAGCCTCCAATATTTGGCTTTCACTCGCCCGGATATTGCATTTGTAATCAACAAACTGTCTCAGTTTATGCATCAACCAACGGATGCACACTGGCAAGCTGTAAAACGAGTCTTACGATACCTCGCCGGCACGTCTACACATGGGATATTCATGCGCGCCAACACCCCGATCACTCTCCATGCCTTCACCGGTGCAGATTGGGCTGGGGACTGTGACGATTATGTATCTACGAACGCTTACATTCTCTATCTTGGGCAAACTCCGATAGCTTGGTCCTCAAAGAAGCAAAAGAGTGTGGCTCGATCGTCTACTGAAGCTGAATATCAGGCCGTAGCGAATACAGCATCCGAGATAAGATGGGTATGTTCTCTTCTTACTGAACTCGGGATTCTCTTACCTGCACCTCCAGTGATTTATTGTGACAACGTTGGGGCTACCTATCTCTGCGCCAATCCTGTTTTCCACTCAAGAATGAAACATTTGGCACTAGATTATCATTTTATCCGCGATAATGTACAATCTGGTGCGTTACGAGTCACCCACATCTCCACCAAAGACCAACTGGCGGATGCACTAACCAAAGCATTACCAAGACCACGGTTTCTCAAGCTGTTCAACAAGATTGGAGTTGCTCCAGCCCCTCCATCTTGAGGGGCGTGTAGAATAGTATGCATATGGAAAGGATAAGTTTGTAAATATATTATACCTAACGCATCATATGTATCCTATATATATTGTAATCATCTCATCTAATAAGAATCATTCAGCCTCCAATTCTATATAATATCCCTCTATAAACCAAAGTTAAAATTTAATTTCAAGGCCTCTCATAATCTTATGCAATGGTTTACTCCAGAAAATATGAAAGTTCTGTCAATTTTCAAGTAAAACCTTTGAAGTCAAGAAACTCAACGTCGATTATGATTTTGCAAGAAAAGTTAACTTCAATCGTCCAAAGAAAATCTTCTTTTGTCTTGATCCAGTTAACTATTGCTTCTGGATTCTAGTAATCATTAAAGAAACAATGTCAGTAGTT